AGTGGCATCCTATTTTCGCATTGAAGTCGCAACAAGCTTGTAAAACGACTTCTCGTTGCGTACGACCTCATCCACGCCTTAAAAGCATCTAGTTTTGAGTCGTCAGCTTCTGCTGTTGGCGAGTAGCAGTTGATGATGCTGATGGTTTTCAGACGTAAATGTCGTAATCGTATAAAGTGATGGGATCTCATGCGAATAGACAAGATGGATGGTAGATGGGGGATGACAAAGTCAACACTTCCAACTTTTCGTGATGGGACCATCTCACCACGAATGATGAAGGTCCCATCACTCATCTGTCGCACGTCCTTCTTCCTGGACTTCGTTTCCTGCAGGGCGATGACGTGGTATTTGATTTACTCTGTAGCGCGGAGAAGAGCGTGGAGGTCGGCGTTTGTGTAGACTGTCCTGGCTTGTAGATGCAGAGCATGAGGCATCCTCCATGGCGTGTCGTCCGGGCAGACGTGTCGTTTCTATCTAATCCGAAAGGCGCCCTGAGTACCCTGGCATCGTTCTTGCTACCACCCGGCGCCGCAGGCGGCATCCGATGTGCAGAGTTTTACTTCTTTTTGCTGAACGAGTAATAAAAATTTTTCCGCTAAAGAGCAGACTTACTAGGCCTACTCTTGGTTTCCACGGGGCGATCGCTGAAGCCTAGCGACCAGGAAAACCAGACGGCAGCGGAACTGGGCTGGCCGGCTCTTAGCCAGGCACCGGGCCGAAACCGAAAACGTCTAACTCCTTCACAGCTTGGGAGGCCCTGCCAGAGTATACACTCGGCTGTACATCGCAGTTCGACACCCATTGTCACCCCACGCCAACTTGAGGCAGCCGACCATTGTGGGGGCAGAAAGCTAAATATTATTATTAATGCTTAAAATTACTGCAGAAGCGCTGTGCCCCTCATTCGGGAATTTACTGTTTACCATGGAAGTAACGCCTTTTAAAATTCCTTTATGATAAAATTCGATTTCCTCGAACTATCCGTGAGGTCGACTCCAACACGCGAATCCATAGATGCGGTGGGGATGGTAAAATCATCCCACAATAAAGAGTACAGTGTTAATTTCACATTAATGCCCTTTGGACTTCGCTTTAAAAAAGAGTATCTTGAAAAAGAGACTTTCGCTTTTCAATATCCAACGTATTTTTTGAGCCAAGGAAATCACTTTATTACGGTGGTAAATGGGGATGCTATTGATGGATAAATTCGTGATTAATCATTCTCACTCTTATCATTTAGATTTTTCCTTTTTGCAAATTTCAATGATAAGCAAAGGTGATATTTTTATTTATTTTGGATCAGTTTAACATGATAGATTTCCGATTGCCTTGCCCATGCTAAGCTACGGAGTTATTACCTTTCCAGAGTATTAAATGGGATGTTGGTAACGAATGCATTCTCAAATTCCTCTCACTGCTTAACCGATTCTCTCTTTTTTCAGTTTCTGGAATGCTCTTGCTGACCTTAAAGCATGAAAGAGAGAAAATTCAGCTATTAGTAACTAAAGTTCGGAAATCTCAAAGGATTACTAAGGGCCGCATGCACTAACATCCCCGCGGGGAGGGGATAGCAGCTTAAAAGAAAGCTTTATATTTCGAAACTCCAGATACCTGGATTTCACGTTTTTTACTTATCCGTAAGTATTCCTACTACCCTTCAATATGAACATGTTGAAGAGGAGCGAGAAACTGTACTAACCGCATCTTCCAGCTTTTATATGATCCTTGATGATCCCCGGCGCTTTTCTTTAAAATCATTTTTCTTTCTCCGAAGTTAACGAAAAACCTCCAAAGTTGTGCAGATTATCTAAACCGACAGTGCTAAGCATGTTCGTGATAAAAACAAATGATGTTTTGAAGTCATGAAATTTTCGATGATCCACAGGTCGAAATTTGAGGTTTACCGAAAAATTCGACTTTTCAAAACTCATTTGTTCTCATCAGCAACATACTTAGCACTGTTGTGTTAGATGTTCAGTACAGCTTTGGAAAATTTTCGTTAACTTCGGAGAAAGAAAAATGACTTTGAAGAATAGATGTTCGTCCCCCAGGGACCATGTGGGGATCCTTCAAAAAGCTGGGAATTGCGGCTTGTACAGATTCTCGCTTCTGCTCAGTATGTTCATAGTAAAGAATGGTGGGAGTACTTACGGATAGGTAGACAGCGCGAAATCCAGATATCCGGAGCTTCAGGATATGGAGCTTTCTTCTGAAGGTGCGATCTCCTCCCCAGCGGAAATGTTAGTGCATGCGGCCCTAAGAGGGGATGGGAGGGTTGAGGGGAGGGGGAGGAGGAGGGATAAAAATGAAGTGAAGTATTCGGTTTTGAAATATTTGCAATTTGACTCATTGCGGGCAATGGATGGGAATTTGGTTTTTTCGCTCTCAAAATAATGAATAACGAGCCTAGAGGGTCGTAGCCGGTGAAAGTTGCGTAAAAAATGCGGCTATTGCCGGAGACAGGGAGGGAGAGGCGAAGTTGTGAGAATATGGCACAGAATTTCGTTTTCGAAAATCGAGGGGGAGTAAGATTGACTGCCTTCTTCATAAATTGTTAAACAATTTCTTCCCAACTTTGAAGTTTAAGAGTGAAGGTATTCTAAAGATTAAAGACGCTTGCATACCCAGCTCTAATGACTGCAGCCAAAACCAATCAAAAACGTTACTCTGGCCTCTTTGAATGTTAATCAGCATGAAAGCTTCATGAAGTCAATACTTAATTCAAAAAAGCTCTTTGGGAAGCCAAATCATTGGAAAGAGTGAAGTATAGCAGATGGAGGAGGGGGGGGGGGTCGTTTAGGCGCAAAGAAAGAAAACTTTTGAAGTTTTTTTGAGGATTTGGTTTGTCACAAACTATCGCTTGAGACATAAGTAGTTCGAGATGAGCTTAGCAAAGCTAGGAAAAACTTTTAAAAAGGATTTGTAGAAAATCATCGGGGAAAAGCATGTTTTGAACCGGGAAAGAGGTTGAGACTGATGTTGCTTCACAGGCTCAGTACGCACGCGTTTTTAGGATACCTTCGACAAAATTTCAGAGGGGATGAATACGCATAATCAAAAGAAGAAGAGGAGCAGTCAGGAATGTGGGCGCTTTGTGGGAACCATTTGAAAAGAAAAGAAGAGACATTAGCTGAATGAGCCTGTGAAGTTCCTATATATGCAAGTCCGTACGACATGGGGAGCGGCGCGCATTGCAGCAAAAGATCTTTTTATAATGTATTCTTCTTAAAAGTTGGCTTGTCAGAAACTAGCATACTATTAATTAAATCCAGCTGCGCAGTGCAGGCTGCCGTTTTGGACACCATGAGCTAACGTTACCGCATTGCTAAAAGCAGTTTTACGTTTTTCTTTTCCGGAATTTTACACTTCCCTTGCAACAGCTCAAAACGTCGCCTTAAGCTCTTGACAAGCGAACTATATTGCACGAGCATCGAACCCGTAGGACTTACTAAAAACACTTATAGAACTTTGTTAACACTATTGTTAGGTGTTTGCGAGACATAACTTATTACTGGAGGAAAAGGCTTTCGACAAAACCTCTACACAGGTCCCACTCTATACAAGGCCAGTTCACAAGCCGCGAAGCGGCACTTTGGTCAGGTCGGGAAAATAGAGCAGACCTTGAATTACTGGAGATTCTTTGGAGATCTCGAGTAATGTAGAATGGAATACACAGCGACAGCGGAAACATTGAAGCCAAAGTCTCCGCAAATTAGAGCTTGTTTCTTATTCATCATCATTGCGCAGGACAATCAAGTTTGATATTCTTCTTAAAATCTGTTACTTCTTCGGTACAACCTGCGCTATGTGTGCTTCAAAAGCTATTCTAAGAAAGGGGTAAAAATCTGAAGATGTTACCCAAGTTTTTTTGGTATGTTGGCTGATATCATTCCAAAGTCCAAATAGTGAAGGAATGCAGAGAGTTCATCAAGTGCACTCATCATACTCTCTAATAAAGCGCAGGCACCCCCATCTGAGGTCAATGGCGTGTAATCGTGCCACTTTCGAGTTTGCTTACCGCTATGTTCCTCCCTCGCCCTTACCTGCACTTTATCACTGCCCTTTTTTGCAGGTGATCTTTGCCATCAGACTCTCTGTCTTCGGTTTTGTTTACCAAAGTTCCTCATGCAGCCACCAAGGAGCAGCGAAAAGTCATCAGAACTCTGTAAGCTGTGAGATCGATTAGTCTCATCTCCGTCCCACAGTATTCTGCTTTATTTCAGCTATCAAGATTGGGTTCCAATATCCGAGTGTAAAGACAGGTAAGGCATATTTCTTTTGTTACTAAACTCATCTCACAAGCTTCCATTCAATAGCTATCGTCCTCTATCGCCCTGTTAAAACTTCTTCTCACATTTTGTTGTTTCTGTGATTGTTTCTGACTTCACAACATCTTTAGAATGATTACTACATCTTATAAAACTTTTTTACGACGTTTTTACAGCTGCTATTTTGAAAGATGTGAAAATCATGGGTGACAATTTTAGACAATTTTTTCTTCAAACGGCTTGGAACAGGAAGAATACATGACGAATAGACGAATAGAACGACTATACGACTTTTAGACGAATTGTTTCGCATAACATTCGCGCCATAATCCTTAGATAATTACGGATATAGAGAGAATGACATTTGAAAGCTCTAAAAACATTTTTAAGGTAAGAAACATTATGTGATGCTCTCCACTTTGAGCAATTTATCTGCCATCTGAATGTACGTTGTTTTTAAACAGAAAATTTCAAAGAGTCGACATTCGCTGCGTATTTCTCGAAAATCGAAGCTTACGATGGTTCGGTTTTTGTTGACACTACCAATTCTAATGTGTTCTCAAAACTATTTATGAAAATTGCTTACATCAAAATTGGATTAATCTATACAGCCTAGATCTTAACTAGACGAGACTGAATTAGCATTCTAGGCAGCTCATCACTCTGTGCCAAAATTTGTCAAGTGTGGTAAAGTAAGCAAATTCACTCCGATACTTTTAAGAAGGACATATGGATACAAATAGGGTAAATGCTGCGCAGTAATATTAGCTTTATTATAGACTATGTTTCAGACGCTGCAATCTTATGAGCAATTAAGCGTCAGCAGTGGGACAGTCGGACATCTATGAAACAACACAATCCAACGCTTTTGGAGTCCTTCCCAGCTTTTGGAGTCTCGCGCTATACGACCAAAATTAGACGAACAGCCAACTCGCTCTCAGTGGCAACCAAATGAAAATATTCAGGGAACGCTTGAGGAAACTGAGGTATTATTACTACAAGCAATTTCTTGAAGACATTTAGAAGGTATAGTAGTTACCTGGGAGATTTTTGCGCAAACGACCATTGAAAGACATGGTGAGAGCAGTTTGGTTTCACGTAGCATAAAGAACGTTTATGGGTGAAAGTAAAATGCCAATGGAGACGACCCGTAAAAAGGCGCATTTCAGGAAGAGCGACAGCGAAAGAGAGCTGAACAAATGGTATTTAATAGGCGTTACGAACCTGAAGATAAGCGTAAGAAGCGGTTAGCGGCTCAGGCCGAAAGAGCCAGGTTGAGAAGAATGGAAGAGACCAATGAGCAGAGAACAGAGCGCCTCGCGAAAAATGCAGAAAGAGGTAGATTGTGAAGAGCAACTGAAACGGAAGAACAGCGATTATTGCGCTTGGGTTTATCGGCAGATGTTAGGAGAAAGCGACTTGCTCAAAACAACTTAGATCGTAGCAGTCACAAAGAAGACCTTAGCACAAACTCATGAGAAGATGTGGAAGAAAGTGTCACGGTTATCTCAAATTTCCTGGAAATTTTTAAAAGTAATGCAGTTTTGTCAAGGACAACCCTTCCAACGTTGTTGCGCGTGACGCTGCATCTGTTGCTTCTATTCAAGAAGCAGGACCAGAGGTAGGGTTTTTATAGTAAGTAGAAACTCCGCAAATGGAATAGAGATTTTTAGGTTGGCCCGTTGCAGCGCTTGAGCGGGCATGGTGCTTTTTCTGATCAGAGTTTAATGGTGAGCTTCATAGCATCAACAGCCCAGGTACCATTGCTAACATGACTCCATAACGTTTTCAAGAGGAGAAGCAGGAGTAGTGTATTACGTTCTTAAGGTGATACATGTTTAGAGGCTCAGTACTTCCGCGGACGAAAGATCTCAACACATTGTATCTCTTAGTGCACCTCATTTGAATGGTGAGAGCGCTTGCGAACCTCTGCCTTCCACGTCTGCCTACATACCTCTAAAAGATTTAACAGTTCAGGTAAATTAAGCAGGAAATAGAAAATTATTTGTCGAGAACTGACGGGACAGATAATTTTCAGCCTTCACATGTTGATTACGCACCACTCACTCCTGATCCTGCTTTGAGAGCAAGTCTGAATGGAGCAAGTGAGAACAACCTTGATGCTTCGCGTCTTCAAAGCCTACCGCCTTATGAAAATGAAAACATGGATGAATACGAAACTATGGCGAGTCAGGATATTTTTTCAGTCATTTGGTAATTTTCATGTTATAGGAACACCAGAGCGTCACCTCCGCTTCGCGGAGGTTCGCACTGACCCCCTATCCGCATGCCTTTCACATTTTCGCATGGGAATGGCTTTGAAACTCACCACGCGATGCTGAGCATCACAAATGAATTGTAAACAACTGTTCATTCATGAAGCATCTCCATGTAAGAGCGGTAATTTTATGAAAAAAAAACTTTGTTGCAAGGAAAGAAATGCGAATTTGAACGGATTACTAAATTTATTTTAGTTTGATAATCGTCATAAGGATAATAGTCACCTTGGGCTACATTTCACTGCGAATATGTTTTGGTTATTTTAAATAAGACCTTGCCAAATCGACTATATACGCGTTCATCACTCTTTGGCGCTGTTTTCACGAAAAAAAAACAAACTTTTTGAGCACTTTTGGGCTAGAATTCATGGCGCGCAGAGTTACTTGTCAGGCAAATCATTTTGTAAAAAGTCGAATTAGCGACCCAGGTTTGGGGGCCAAAAGCGCGTGGACCCGTTTGACGCGCAAATTTTGAGGTACCCGCTATCGCACCGGCTCGTCCTTGTGCATGGTAAGCCTAGACGCTGGCACGGTATGTTATGCAAAATTGCAGCCCGGTAGCTTAGTTGCAGCATCCTCTATGAATTTCGTGACAGACAGATTTTCACACAGACACACACGAAAAAAACAGACGGCCTCAGCGCGTTATTATAGTAGGATCATTCAAATATACCGTCCACTGTCTTACCAGCACATCCACGGAGCGGCCTCCGACCCAGGTATGCTGATTTTTGCGTAATTATAGTGTCTGTGACATCAAAATGAGTGAAATGTTCAGTTGACTTCTATACGAAACGACACGGAAGAGAACTACGTAGGATCTATGAGCATCAGCTGTAACCGCTGTGGTGCCCTTTTTTTTCAGCGAGGCCAAACCTAAAAACGGATGCTTCAATATTTGCTCCTTGGATTTGTTCGCAAATTATCCGAAACTTCTACGTTCATTTTACACTGGAACGAGCAGACTCGGCACAAATTTTCGCGAGCACATCCGATCTTATAACAGCGCCCTTGCCATGGCTTCAATGGGTGCTCAAGTAGATACTCCTCGTGGTTCTAGGCCATACTGCTACAGAATTCACGGCCAGATTTATCACTATGTAGGCCCTCTGACGCCACCGGAAGGTGTTCGTCCACAGTTTGGGCAAGTGTACACTCTGGACACAGACACCGCAGCAGCGGAAAGAAGTGGGAATCCTGCAGCGAATGCTCGCTGTGATGCTACTGTGATGCAGCAGTTGACCTCACGGTTACATGCTAATAATAGTTATGCTGCTTCGCTCAAGATGATGGGAGATGTAGCTGCAGACGAAGAGCGATGAGCCCGTGAGGATGGCAAACAGTTACCAACAATTCGCCTTATCTTCGATGATTCTCCTAACCTGAATCGTCGCCGTTATAATGTACCAGCCGCAAACGAGATCGCCGTTGTTTACGTTGGCGAAGATGGTGATGTCCCATCGAAGCGCTCTCTTGTTATTCACCATAGAGGAGGAAACCTACAGAAAATACCAGACATTGACGGTCATTGTGACCCACTAACCTTCCCTCTGTTGTTTCGTAGGGGAGGATTAGGGTGGCATGTCGATTTGACAAAAAATCCAAGCCGTCGTATTCGCACGCGAATAAGTCAACGCGAGTTCTACTCATATTTGGGTACTCGTTATCCGGACCCATTTTTTCAAAGAAGAATATTGCTTTTTTTTCTTGTACCACATTTGGTCCGAAATTCACGGGAAGGAGTGTCAACCTTCTGCCACGTCTCAAAAAAATTTGACATGTCATCTACATGTTTAACAGGTTTTACCAAGATAATGTTTTTGCACTACCTAGCGGCGTAAATACAATCTGTAATCAAATCAGTAATGGCCCCATTTTCAAATAAAGGATTTCAGAAATGAACAGTGCTATAATAAATAACATCACCCCAGCTATCATTGATAAAGAATAGATTTGCACAAAACGGAGAAGTGTGCTAGGATTCCGTTATCCAAGCGGCGAAACAAGCAGCAGGAAATGCCGCAAGCCTTCATTTATAGTCTCTCCTTACTAAATTCGCATGGCGGAAAGTTTGAAGAGGAAGACAAGTTTGAGTTATTGCTGAAAGGAGGAAGACAAGTTTGAGTTATTGCTGAAAGGATGTTCTGCTATACTAGGACGTAAACTAGGATGTTCTGCTATAAGTTCTAAATAGAAAGTTTTGCTTTTATCGAAAACAGTTGAAAGGATTTTAGGAGGTCACAAACGCTTTTTTACCTCACCGGAAATGATTTCGAAAAAAAAACAAGTCAAAATGGGTTAAAAACGTGTCAAATTTTTCCTGACATGTGCCTCGCGCCATGCAACAGTCTTATCAAGATGCCATGTCTATATTTGCAAGGTACGGAAAACCCGACTACTTTCTTACATTTACGTGCAACCCAAAATGGAGAGAAATAACTGAGAACTTACATCCTGGCCAGACCGCTTCTGATCGTCCAGATTTGGTGACACGGGTGTTCAAACGAAAGCTGGACATCCTCAAAACTCACCTTTTTGAAAAAAACATTTTGGGATGTGTTGCTGCTTATGTCGGGATCGTAGAATGGCAAAAAAAGGTCTTCCCCATTGCCACATGCTGCTTATAATGACTGCAGATGCAAAGCCGAGGACTTGCGAGGTTGCTGATTGCTGCTGTCCAGGCTTACCTTCCAAGTCCATCTGAGAATGCCCGCCTTCACAGCATAGTCGCGAGGAACATGGTTCATCGACGATGTAGTATAGACAATCCAACTGCTTCATGCATGGTAAACGGAGTATGCTCTAAGGGTTGTTTCATACTGCAGTCGCTGTATGAAACAACCCTTAGAGATTCAGGAGATTGGGGGATTGGGGTGAAATGAGGATGCTGATTAACCGGAATCTATTTTATCGATTTCAGCAATTTTCGGAAAATTTTGAGCTAGGAGTTGGTATAAGGGATACGAGGGTGCTGATTATGAATGGAGGTTGCTCTAATTATTCGATAAATCATTTTAATATTTATTCGAATTTCGACTTCCAATGTTCGAATACATTCGATATTCATTCATTCGATATTTTTGATATTCCAAATTTATTCGGAATTCAATTATTCGAGAATTTTTAAACCTCGAATTTATTCGGTATTCGTTTATTCGAGATTTTTCGTTTTCGAATTTATCCGATAAACTAGCTATGAAATAATCATTCAAATTAGTGGCGTAAAGACTCAGTGGAGTTTGTTTCATGCCCCTGCTTGCTCGGAAAGGCGATCTTTACTATTCAGTATAAGCAAACATAGGGGAAGCACAGTACATATGGAAATCCCGCACAAAAAGTTTCTGGGGAGGAGCAGAATTCGATAGCGGAGAGAAGACTGCATAGTGCAAAAAGCTGACGGAGCCTAACAAGCAGAAGATATTCCCAGGTAAAAACAGAATGGGGTGCAAGGGACTCGACCCAACGTATGGACAAGGTATAGATATGATCAAACATTAACATCAGAAGATATCAGCTAAAGTCAGCTCTAATTTCATCGGTTATTCGATCAAGTACAGCCATAGAAGAAATAGAAACAAACAAAGCATGAGTTAGTTCAAACAGCCAAGCAACAATGGGTTAGTCTAGCCATTATCGAACTTTTTAGACAAAATGCAAGTCCAACACAGCGGAAGGCGATTGCTCCATACTGTAGCAACCATTAGTTGTCAAATCCACCCAGTCGAAAAACAGCGAAACTGTCAATCGAACCATGAATACTAGATAGACTAGGTTAGAAGAATATTCACTGCATGCCAGCACGTTTAAGATCACCCAAACTAAAGACGCAGGGCCCAGCTGTTCAAGACAAGTGAATATAAGGTCGCTGTTCTTGAGCATCCGGGCATAGCTGAAAGTAAAATGATTCATGGCTCAACTGCTTCAAAGCCAACAGGCTTTAGCCGTTTACTCTCAAGCAATGAAGCCGCAATGATTTGTTAGCCACGACTCGGTGATGACCATTGGGATGTCCTGAGTAAGCCTGCAAAAGCAGACACTCATAGGCACATTTGAGGCCAAAATATTCCCGTTTCTATCGCGCAGACTACCTAAATTAATAAAGCACTTCCTCTTTCCGAGCTCCGCAAGCTGGGCGCAAATCGTGAAGAAAGGCTTCGCTTCTCACTGCTTTTAGCCATGCGTGCAGGAGCCCGAATGTGAGCACAACGGGCTCAAATTGTCAAGTGCTACTGCGTGATGAGTGATTTGCACATATGCTGCCTTTGACATATATCAGGTTGTAAAGAAAGTTCCCGGGCACTTTTGGAAATTTCATTTTCAAACGCATTTTTCCGGCGCTTGGTGGGAATTAGGAATTTGACACCAAGTTTTTTATACTGTTCAGTAGAGGGAAGCCTGAAGTTTTCAACAAACCGTCTGACTTTTATCGATGCCAAGACGTATTTGATCTGCACGTCAAGAAGAGAAATCTTTCCAACCACAAAAATTTCGTAATTTTTCTTCCTACGGCCATTTTTTTATGCATCTCAAAAAATTTCGTCTAAATCATGGGTGATTTGATTGGCAAGGCTGTTAACTTCTGACCCGCAGCTGCACTCGAGTTTTGCGATTTGCCCTCAGGAATTACAAGCTGTCGAACTTGCTTCTGACTGCAACTCTTTTCGCAGTTGGCGTCGCTTCTGCGGGGATCGCCACGCCTGGATGAGGGGTCCAAGAGATGTGCAAGGCATTACCCCAACAATGTTCCCAGTAATCAAAGATTTGGTCATTTCTGTGCAGAATTAGAAGACTACAAAGTCACTTGCTCAAAAAATGGTGCATTTTTACTCAGATAATCGCCGGGGGCAGGCGGTCCGCAAACTCGCGCTTTTCTGCAAGCGGTCGGCAAAATTTTGGAGCGCGGCCAAACCTTCAGCGAGCGGTACTTCCCTATTCTGCCAGCGGGCAGCAATACAGAATTTTCTGCAAGCGCTCGTCAAATAATTTCTTTCAGCGAGCGCTGACTAAACTTTCAGCAAGCGCTCGGACTCCTTTTATGCACTTTCGTGCGTACGCCGAGCTAAGGTAAGACTCTACCTGGCAGAGGTGTCGTCGATGGTTTTATCACCCAAGTTTGGGGTACTTTCTCCAAGCGGAAAGTACCTGAGGGCTGTGCGGTCCTCCACAAGGGACCGCGCGGCCCCCAATAATTTTGCATATTCTCGCGGAAAGTCCGCGAGAATGCGGCCAATGCGCCGCAACTAATCCATAAGAAAACCGTGACACTTCTCCGAGCATTTGTCAAAAAATTGAACAATATTCTTCCAAATTTCTGCAGGCGGAGCGCAAGAAATCAGCGAACTATCTTTCCGGTGCCCGCTTGCCCAAAAATCGCATGGCCGCCTGCCCCCGGCGATTATCTGAGTAGGGGCAAAAAATGTTCGATTTCTCGAACTTTCTAATAAAAATTTTTTTCCAATTGGTTCTCCAAAAACATAAGTTGTCCCTATAACGGCCCCAGCAGACCTCTGTATAACTACAGCATCTGGGTTTTCCAGCTCTCATCATGTTTGAGATAACCCTGCACAAATATGTCACTTTTCGCAACGACCTTTTCCCATTCTGCGCATGCTTGACCGCAGTGAGGTGCTGAGAAGCCAGCAAGACAAGTATATGTTGCGGACAAAATTGTCTTTGCAATGAAGTTTGTAGCTTCAAAAAAGAATCAATCCGCTTGAAGTTATAGCGATTTAAAAAAAATTTTTGCAACTGCCCGGGAACTTTCTTTACAACCTAATACAGTACCGCTCTTAGTTCGGCAAAAAAGCACTGCAGCGCACTCCGGCGCACTGCAGCCGCACTCCGCCGGAGTGCGGCAGAGTGAGCTACACTCCACTAGAGTCTGCCGGAGAGCAGCGGAGTGCGCCGCACATCACTAGAGTCCGCCGGAATTCGCTCGCATCGCCATATATCTCGAATTCTGAATCCGAGGACACCGTTCGATTCAGCTCGGCGAAACGCATTTTCTTATACAAAAAGCTGAATGTCTGTTTGTATGTTTGCTGTCTGGCTGTCTGTCTAACTATACGTATGTTCCGAATGGAAAAAACCATTTCTGAACCGATCCGGACCAAACTTTGCACACATACACATCGGGGCTGGGCGGGTGTCATAGGCCACTTTTTATCATCGATCGATATCGATTTCAACGATTTTTATCGATTTTTTTGAAGTTTGAACTACGGGGCTGGGAATTGGCGCAGGGGATAATCGGACATGCTGATTACGAATACAATATTAGTTTTTGAAATTATCCGTTACTTTTATCGATTTTATGATTTTTTGCAAAGTTTGAGCTCCGGGGCTGGGAGTTGGTACAAGGGGATAAAGGATGCTGATTACTAAAACAGCGGAATAGTGAATTGGCATGTAGGCGTGGGCACAGGGAAAGTTGTTTGGGATAGGTTTGAGAGCTTCACCATAGTGTTTTGACAGAGCCGGACGGAGCCGGGTACGCCAGTTATTTATCTAATTAATAGAAGTGTCACAATCTAGCAGGATATGATAGGTATACGGTAAACAGCAGTTTTTGCTCAATTTTGCAGATTTTTGTTTACTTGTATGTTCAGTGTGCTGATAACAGTATTGCTATTGATTTGTCGCTGATGACACATAGAAAGTATAGTGTAGGAGTATGGTAGAGAGTCAGTCTGATCCAATTTGCTCTAAAATCCGCCCAAGATCACAATACCGCTTACAGAATGTGCAAAAATTCCGCGAACTTCGCGGAATTCCGGGATTTCCGCCAAAGTCCGTGATATTCCTGGAAGTTCGCGACATTCTAGTATCCGCGAAATCATGGAAATTACGCAGAACACGCAAGGCCATAATTTTCTTCGCAATAAATGCGTTCTAAATCCGGAAGCAGCATTTTGTTCAGATCGTCAAGGCAAATGTTGTGATGTACAGAATGCCCTCGATATTCCGTTTCCAGTTTTCTCGAATTTTTCTGTGGAGGTCCTTTCGCAAGGATGTAGCGCAGCGTCTGTGTAACATAAAAGATTCCAGTAAGCACTATTCGATAGTATTCACGGTGAAATTTCGACGAATTATGCGGTCTTTACGTTTTGGGCAAAATGCATGAGGACGTATTTCGTAGGCTGTTAATTCGGCGATTTTCATAGTCTGAAGCTTGAGACATGCACCATTCGATGGCACACTTTCTAGTAATTTTGACTTAGAAAAGCAAGCAAGCAAGTTTATGACAGATACGCGAGAAGTGCGGGTAAAGTGACGCACTTTCATGGTGCAATTACAGTCACCTCACCGTATCTCTCCAAAAATATCCTGTGATCCTCAAAGACCACGATTTTAGTAAGAGCATGTTCGAAAACCTTTATAAGCGAAGTTTCCTTACAATTCAGGTGCATCAACATTTTGAATAATCGGCGAGCTTCCAGAGCGTGAAACGAGAAAAAAATCAAATAATCCGAAGTTCTCTGAAAACTTGCTCATAGGGGTTGTCCGACCTGCTGATTACAAAATTCATATCTGCTTAGCAAGATAGCTTCGTATTCTAGGTTATGGCGAGTAGAATCTGGGACGATAAGATTTTTCCACAATTCACCAGCCTTTCTATCTCCATTGGAAAGACGCCTGCGACTACATTTTAGCGCTCCATAATCTACAGAATAAGTACTATCGAATGGTCCTTGCTGAAGCCTACTAGGGGCGATGCGCGCTGCTTTACACCTTTGCGAAAGATTTGAGAATACTGAGATCAGAATATCAAGGACATGCTGTATACCGAAAGATTTGCCTTGATAAACTGAGCACAAAACTTTCTTCAGATTCAGAATGTATACATTCCGAAAAAAGTTACGCCGAATAGAAATTGAAAACGCGTGATTTTTTCAAAAATCACCAGCGCTTCTACCTCTTGTGGAAGACAGTGTACAGATACTTTTGAACGCGCGATAAAGTACAAGAACAGTACTATTGAATAGTGCTTACTGGAATCTTTCATGTTACACAGACGCTGCGCTACATCCTTGCGAAAGGACCTCCACAGAAAAATTCGAGAAAACTGGAAACGGAATATCGAGGGCATTCTGTACATCACAACATTTGCCTTGACGATCTGAACAAAATGCTGCTTCCGGATTTAGAACGCATTTTGTGAAGGAAATTATGGCGTTGCGTATTCTCTGCATAATTTCCATGATTCCGCGGATCCTAGAATGTCGCGAACTTCCAGGAATATCACGGACTTTAGCGGAAATCCGTCGCGAACTTCCGGAATATCACGACTTTGACGGAAATCCCGGAATTCCGCCAAGTTCACGGAAATTTTGCACATTCTGCGAGCGGTATGTGATCTTGAGCGGATTTTAGACCAAACTGGATCAGACTGACACTCTACCATAAACAAACAAAAATCTACAGAGTTGAGCAAAACTTACTGTCTAACGTACGCTTATCATATCTCGCTAAATTGTGGCACTCCTATATGATGATTGATTCTCGCCGAGCTTAATCTAACGGTGTCCTCGGATTCAGAATTCGTCCATTCTGAAACGCAATATGATGATGCGACGCGGATTTCGACGGACTCTAGTGATGTGCGGCGCACTCCGCTGCTCTCCAGCAGACTCTAGTGTAGTGTGGCGCACTCTGCCGCACTCTAGCGGACTGCGTCACACCCCGGCGCACTGCAGCGCACTCT